TTCCGCGCAAGAAGACATCCCTTTTTTCTCTTTCCTGCATCGCGAGATCGTTCGCGTGTCGGCCGTTCGTGCTAGCAGCTGTGCGCGATGTATCTCGTCGCCTTTCACTCGGTACCTCGCGCCATTGTGCAGCAGTCGCGCGGCGGCGATTGCGCAACGATATTTTATAGCTCTAGCGTATTGCGAAATGAACGCACGCTCCGACACAAGGCGAGAGCTCGTCATCGCGACGCGGTCGCGTTGCAGCTGTCGCTCGATTGTCTTCTTCCGGCACGCGCCGAGACAGCAACCCGGTAACAATCAAACGAATCCATCGTTCGATATCCCGAGATTCAATTGTAAAACTAATCCGCGTGATTATTTATTTCGTAAAATCTCTCGCATTCCGTTGAAAGTAACCCTCGATTTGTCGCAAGTATTGGATAGCAAAATAAATAGATCTCACCGACAGGCGAGAGATTCATCGCGCACCGATGATATTAAAATTTAATAGCCGAATGACACATGCAGAGCGTGAATCACTGATTGCGTCTCGCTTGTCACGCGATACTTCGTCTATCATTCGCAATAACCGGTACGGTATGCGAAATAACATTCCGCTCCATAACTCAGCCTATAAAACCGCAACATGTATTCCAGATGCCGCGAGCCCAGGTGCGAAAGTGAAGTCCCCGTGCTCCTATATATTTCGGATGCGCCGCAATAAAGCCGATTTCGCCGTATGAGTCGACCGAAATTTAAACCCCATCGCGCGAGGTATCGCAGTTGCCGCATATTGGTCATAACGAGAATATATTTCCCGAGTATCTCCCGATGATTCTCGCGGTCAAGTCGTATTTTTCGCGTACTTTGTACTTATTCAAATGTGAATTTCTTTCAACCGTCCGTGTTGCGAGGACGACCGCAATTTTAACAACTCAATTTAAAAGCAAGCATTATATTTCTTTGTAATTATCTTTCTAATTATATCTATAACGTATAAATATGACATCATTTATACATCAATATCCTTGATAATATTATACGAGTTTGATTTTTTATCTCTCACTATGTATTACCGATTATAAAATGATCAGAATTATTTCTCGCAGACAATTGAATTTATTATTCACTCATATGCTTCGCTAAATTATAAAGTATCGTATATCATTACGACAGATGAAAAATTATGTACTCCATTTGGACACAAGTAAAACCTAACCGACGTGTAAGAACATTAATCGTACATCGAGGTCTCTATCGATGATATCAGATCGAGTGGCAGGCACCCTGGAAGCGCTGTCAAGTTCGATGGGTATGAAATCGGTTTCTGAAATGGGTCGGAGCCGGTTGTGCCAGACGATCGCAGAATTATTTATAGACGGCTAAAAAATATTGTAACTGATATGTCGTGATCGAAATTATCGATCACGTATAGTATTATGAAATCGATAAATTTTTTTTTTGCTTTATGATTAGTTTCTGTTTTTAAAAAATTTCTTTCGAAAAATATGCCACACGAGTATATATTATGATTACGGTTGTATTCGCTGAATTAAGAATATTTATATAATCCCCCCAAAAAAGTGTTGTTCTTAATTCATGAATTTTTTTCCATATCTTTTGAGATTACATATATTAAAATACTTGTATTCGAATATTTTTTAGATTTGTTAGGACAATATATTTAAACGTTTTTATAATACTTGCCGATCGCGTGTGGACGGCGCCATAAAATCCATATAACACATACTCGAAAGTAGAGGATAAGCAGCGAGCATGAATCGCATTGCGAATGAAAGCGCTGACGGCTCTTATTTCACGCGTATACCTTCGTGTAGTAAGATTACCTAGATGTAACTCGTTTCTCTCTCGGGGCACAAATCACATCGGATCTTAACCGCGTCGCGAAGCTTTCAGACATTTCCGACTCGCTGCGCGAAAGGGAACACCGATCGATCACACCTCGCACACACAAGCGGATCTTCATCCATATTTATTTTTAGCGAGCGTACTAAAAGCTCCACCGACGCGGAACGATAGCATCACCCATTAATAATACATCGAGACAATAAATCCTAGAGTCGTAAAAGATAGCCATTCCTCGAAGAGAAAATCCTGCTTTGTTGTGAGTTTTCCGAATGGACTAGCAGTAGCCATATCGTCGGTTTATTCTCGCGATAGTATCTATTTATTTATGACATATCAAATATCAATAAATTAGAATAACACAGATAGGTAAATTTAAATAATTTAATTTATAAAATTAAAAATTTTATTTAAGGTAAAAGTACCGATTGCCGGACATGTCCCTATATCCGGATATTTACATGAAAATTTATCATTATTAATCTCAAATGAATTATTTATTATAATATCAAAATTTTATTGCAAAATCTTTAATTTAAGGATATTTATATAGTAAGACATTTTTAAATATTATAAAAATTAACATCCAATAAAAAGGTAAATTTGTTACGTAATTAGACGAAGGACATATTTTGAGAACGCTCTTAAAATTTTCTTAAGAAAATTCGTCTTACTTATTAAAATGATTTTTATTTTATTCCGTGTTTTTATCTTATAAACAAAGTTTTATGAACATTATTCAAGTCGAAGAAGATGTAGAATAATTATAAAAATGTTTTTAATTGATATAAACAATATTTTTTTGGCAAATTTTGCAAATTTAGTTACTGGTGCAGTAATTTACGTGATTGCCCAGTAACTGATCGTGTGTTTAGTTTTATGCATTCGTTACTTCAATTGAAAATGGCATGCGCGTTCAATAACGTAAACGAATTAATATGAAATGTTTATACATGCGTATATATTAAAAATTTCCATTTGGCCATCGGCTGTGCGTTAAATATTGCAATATCATATTTTGCTCACATTGGTTGTACTTTGTTATACACCTGTTGCTCATTCTCATTACACAGTACACAATTTTAATTGTTTCAAGCTTTATTATCTTAATTTCTCTCAATTAACTAATGTTATATATTTATTACAATTACATAATACACGTATTATTAATTCGATGATTCTAGATTAATGCGAGATTTGCGTCTCAAGGACCTCTGTCAAACTAATCTGCAAATACATAAAGGCAATCTCTAGATCGATTAAGCAATGCTCGAATTTTTGTCGGGGAATTGATTGACGAAAGGACGGTACATCAAAATAAACCGTTTCTGAATGCTGCTCAAAAGTGATATCTGACCAACGAACACAGACATCGTCATTGACGTGACTTCCTGTCGTGACTTACACAGAGAGCTCGCTGCTCTTTAATCTACGATAGCTGAATCTACTCCACTTCTGGCCATTCGAGAATAATCCCTTTAACCGCGATTACGTCGGTACACAGTAACGGACATTAGATGCAGTAACGAGTTTTTCCAAATTCCGAGAGATTGCTATTTACCCTTTTACTTTTAATTAGTAATTAACTTTGAAATTAAACTAGTAAATCGATTAACAAAATAAAAGGATTCGCCTGTCTTACGACTTTATCACAAAAAGATTTTAAGGTAATCCGTGCAATTATACAGAAATATATCATACATAAAACGAGAATGCATAAATTATTAATTAATTATTATAATTTGTCTGTGTTCCCTGGGTTTATTACTTAACAAATATAAAACCCTTAAAATAAATTAAATTTTGATAATTTTATAAAACAGAACAAAAAATTACAAGAATTCCATGCTAACAATAAGCGGTAAATAATTCCCGCAGTTTATTCGACGCTTCTACGTTTGACCTATTAACGTCGAGAATTAAATTTTCTCTTGATAAGGACGACTACATAGAAAGGACGTAATTATGTTAAATTTGCCGCAATTATACGTAAATGAGAAATGCCTGCTGCTGTCTTGCTGCTACGGTTATTAAATCGCGTTACACCACCATGTTGGTGCGGTTAGTGGAAGATGGAAAGTGAAGGGGGTAGACCGTGCAAATTAAAGGAAAGTATAGATACACATCATTACATACGCCATACATGAATATCGCGCCCGTAATTAACAATTCCTTTCACAGTTGCAAAAACACGATACCTCCCGCGCACACGAATTTCCACTATCGCTCCTCTCTTTGATGTATGCGTCACTGCGACTACACGTATTATTACCGTTGCTTAAAATATACGAGATTGTGTGTATACGCACCGTCGTGCCGTAATTTCACCGGCTACTTTCTTTCCGCGATCCGCACGCATCACACGTAATAATTACTGCCGCAATGATGCCGGTAATAAGCCGCGCGTATTACGATTACAATTGCGAGGAACAATGAAAAATATAATGCGTGCGCGCGTTGGAGGGAAAGTCGGTAAATTAATATTTATTACGTCGCGGTCGCGGACAGTCGATGACATTCGAATTAAATGAGCAAATCTTGTCACTGACTGGAAAATTAAAAGTTCACTTTTATAATTATTTTTTTCTTGAGAGGAATGTTTATATACTTGTCATAAAGTATCAATATCACTCTAGTATTAACGAATAAAAGTCATGTTAAAAAATGATTAAAATATTGAACTATCGAGGATAAAAAAAATAGTGATAAGTTTTAATATCGATGTTGAAATATCGGTGGATATATCTATATCAACAACGGTATTTTGTACTTTGAACAGCGTCAACTTATTCGTAATAGAGTTTCTTTTAGTTTATGTGTGTGTGAGATAGCTATGATATTTCAAAATACACAGTAGCGTATATACAATAGTTTTTAAATATTTTACTGATAACAAGACTGTTTACAAAATTAATTACGATTCCTCGTCTCTTCCAACTTTTAATTATAAGAAACATTATACATTTCTTTTTTTGAGATACCAGAAAATGAAATAATTTTGTTGTCCCCTGTAACCAAGATATCGAGAGAACTAGTTTTTATTTAATACCTGTACAAACCGCACCATCGCCATCCACACCACGGTTGTGTTTTTCTCCTCTCGGTGCCCACTCCGATGCCCCCTACTCTGATCGCCTTTGCTGTCCCACGAAGCGAGCCAGTCTCTCCCGCGCCTTTCATCGCGCGGCTGCAATCCGCGTGTCAGTTCGAAAGCAACCGCGGACAATACCTGGCAACTGGTCGGCCGGTCTTGCCGATCTCGCAGTGATATCTTCGCGACGTTCATTCGAGATCCGAAGCGCGTGGGACACACAATTGCTCCGGAAACCGTAGAAATGTGACGCGCGCGCGTATGCTAGTGATTCGGTGAAATCCGGCTGAAATTATCGGAATTATCTTCGTATATTGACAGTGATCGGTAATTGTGTGACGAGCGGTGATCGTTTCTCATTAATCATCAATCATTTGTCCTGTATATGTTGGCGCGATATACAATTGATGCGAGATTCGAAGAGCGAGAACAGATTGTTGCTCGACAGCAATCTTATCGGTCGTTGAATCCCCCGGACTTTAACTTATCTCAAGGTTTTCTGTTTAATTTCAAAAATGAGAATTAATAATATATAATAATATTAATAGTATAATAATTATTTTTTTACATTATATTTGGTGGATTATTGATTAAGAACTGTGCACTTTTTTTTTTTTGATTCACTTAAAATATACGAAAAACGAATTTTGAGTATAAGTTATCGTATAGCATTAATAAATATAATTACATCAATTATTAAAGGAAATTATAAAACCACAATATAGATGCAACTGCAACTATAATATAAATTTGTTACTTAATGACGTTGAAGTAATCGCAAAATATGAAAAAAAAAATACATTTACGTCACGTTTGCCGACGGAACGAGGCTTTCGATCGCGATCGATTTTTAGGAAAACGAGCGGCCGGTATCGCGCGAACACGTAATATAGGAGCGGAAGCGTTGAAAAACGAGAATGAATATCCGGTTGATAAACGCGTATCACGGGCGCATGTGTAAAGTCGTAGAAATGTGTGTTTAGCGTACATACGTGTATGTGTCGCGAACGCATAGCATATGCTATCAGGACCTGCATTCGTTCGTACGCTGCTCCATGTTCGATTATCCTATAGCTAGATGATAACACCGGGGACAATTTAGTAACGATTTATTGCCGTCAGTTTCGCTCAAATGCGATTCGCGGTTTTGGTGATGTGTCGTTGATCCGTGTAACGTGCAAGGCTCAAATTTACTGATCCCCAGTGTATGAAGTAATTAATTCATAATCTAACTTGAGTATTAATTTTGATTAAATATATATTTATATTTTTATAATTAAAAAATTCGATTTGGAATTTTTCAGTTTGATTTTAAATTAATATCGCTTAAATCGTTATTAAAGAACTCCAATAGAGAAGTTTGATATCCAAAATTTCTATTTAATGTTGATTATTAAGAATATTTATAAAAAAAAGAAGCTCCCAAATTTTACAACACAATGGCTGTTGCGTAATATGTTTATGTCATATGACAATTAATCCGAAGGGACGGCTCATTTGTGTCTCATATGATTACATAGGACGCGCTTGTATAGTTGAATAAACAACACTTATTCCAATGTACATGGACATTCATTCTCCGTTATCACCTCGGCTAATATATCTTATGTGGCTCCTACGAGCCGTCCAGAGATATTCGCGCCAGAGATTTGCGACTGGCAAATTGCTATTGTGCGTGCTTTATACAAACCGTAACGTTAACCGAGAAATGATAAATTCTAAAAAGAACAAGCGCGGTCGAGATTCAGGAAGTGTGGGTAGCGTTTCTCACTGTAACAATTTATTTTCTCTCTTTATCAATTTATAAATATCACACGAAATTTTCAATTCAGGGAGCCTCTTTTAAAGCGCGCGGATGCAATTTATCCGTCGACCAGGACGTTCGTGCGGCTAAGTAAGGTAGTGTGTTTTCGGGCACGGTAGGTTAATTCTCTCTCTCTCTCTCTACGCTATGGCTGAGTTATGTAGAGCATAAAACGACCGATTCGCCTCGTCCACACCGAGGACTGAGGAGAGAAAGAAAAAGAGAGAGATAGAAGCTACTCGAAATAATTATCCCTCCTCGGGAGGTGGGCACGATTCTCTCCGCGACTCCGTTGTCGAGGATAATTCGCGAGGAAAGCCCCGCGATGTCGACAGATATCTGAAAGTAAACTATCGCGGAGCTCACAGTGAAAATTACCCTCATATTTATAGAGAGAATAGTTTTCCCGAGACTTCTTTAAAATTCATTCACCATTCATCGCGAATAATTTTTGTCCTCCGTTTTGAGCATGAGAAGCATTCAAGAGGAGAGTTCAGTTAAAAATTATCCAGTCGTAAACTTTCCAATCAAATGAAAATTAATTTCTCACATATATCTCATTTAAATTTAAAAGTTTTCAAAAATTTAAAGGTTTCAAAAATTAAATTTAAAGTTTTCAAAAATGTTTCACGTTTTTTTCTCAAAATGCTTTAGTCTTGTGGCGTGTGCTTCTTCTCTGTAAGAGGAGAACTTTCCAAAGGACGGCGCTTTTTGTTTCATGTCTGTCATAAAATCGTGAGAAGCTCGTAACAACGACAACGATGCAGCCGCGGACCGCGTCGCGATTCGCCCGCGAAAGTTTTCGTACAAAGGGAACGAGGATCACGAGGGTCGTCCCGTGGAAATGAGTGAAAGTAGCCATTACTTAACTTCATTCTCGGAAAAGCTGTTTCCTCACCGCCAATTAACCGGAAAACATCCGGTAGCGTTGTATCCATTGTCTCGCTTTGTTCCAGCTAACTCCCGATAATGGGGAATTTCTTAATCGCATCCTTGGAAACGGCAAAGGCGGGAAACCCTGAATTTTTGACGAACCGTCATTGCTTTCAATTTGCGGATGTGAATAACTACGATTCCCACGATGTTCTTTTGTGAAAATACTCTCTGATGACTGCGCGAAGAGCGTTGGATCGCGCATAAATTTTATAAGAAATTAAACGATCGTCGTCTCTCTCTTTTCTCGCGGGCGTTGCCAGTTTAATCGATCGATCAGTCAGTACCTCTCTTTCTCTTCCTCTTTCTGGAATTAGAGAAACAGGTTTCGCTTGACCGGTCCGCGCGCGTTTCTAATTAAAATATATTAAAATACACTCGATCACTCGCCGAAAATTTTTCCTAAACGTGTGACGTGGGCGAAAGAAATTTCCATCTTGTCCGATTGAAACGAGTTACGCGCTGGAAAAAAAATCAGAGACTAACTAACGGCGATCGGTCGCGTGTTTCGCCGGTCGTTGGCACTTTGACTTCCTGGCGTTTTGCGCAACAGGCGCTTTTCTCGCATTAAAAATCGACCGACCACCTGTCGCCCGTTAATTTCGATTAACCGTTTCAGCTCTTACATGTGTCATATACATACACATCTTATTTATATATCATACATACGTTATTACATCTTTGATCACTCGTTATACCGGTTATATCGGTAACTTCTATTATTATATAGCAATCATATTTAATAACTTTTACCTGCGTTTTACGAAAAAAATGTAGCTTTATAATATTGGAGTATGGAAAAAACTGAGACATCACGCTGCGTTTGTTCGTGGAATCGCGCAAAAGAAAAAAAAAACGCGCAACCGCGGCGTTTTCATCGAGTACGAGGAGAAACGAGTTTCGTCGAGGTGATCGCGTTATCGCGTATCCGTCGCACATCGGATGGCCGATTATCCGCGCTGGCTCGCTCACTTTCACTGGCCCCCCTCCGACCAGAAAGAGAAAAGCGATCGAAGAGTGTACGGCCGAGGTGTTATATAAATTAGATATTTCGCGAATTTTTCCAGCGCGCCGATGCGCATCGGGATATCGATTTCGCGATAAGGTTGCAATTTTGATCAGATATAAAAATTATCATAAGCGAAATTCTATTTGCACACACACATGCCAAATTAAACATGCTATCTCATTCTGATAAATCTTTAATCTTGTTCTTCATTTATGTATGTGTGAAAAAATATATAATTTTTATTTTTGAAATTTATAATGAATTTCCTTGCGTGAATTTTCGCATATAGATGTTCCACTTAATGCATATACGAGTTTGCGATGCCTTTCTAAAAACGGACACGTCTTACTATGACATCTTTAGTAAAAACGATTACTCCCACGCAAATCGAATGTGTCGGAATTCCTGGCCTGTCGTTCATTGATCGTTGCGATTGTGTATCCTGGCAGAGATCCACGGAAGTTCTCGATATCGCGAGCGATATCTGCTTGCGTAACTTTTATGCCGGTAGCTGGCATAACGGTATCCAATCGCCGGCTCGTAGAGCGCGGTAGCCGCGGTTAGAATTAACGTTTCTTCTTTGCGCGCGCGCGCATACGCTTGGTCGGTTTTCAGTAACAGCTGCTATGTTGTATGCATGGTAGAACCTGATACTTCGAATGTGTATGTGCATATGTGAATGGGAAAACTCCGCT